GTTTCAGAGGATACATTCCCTCATGGCAGGGAAGGCATGGTGGCAGATGGCTCTGTGGTGAGGGGAATATGTGGCAGCTGCTCACATCTGGGTTGATCAGAAAGTTGAGAACTGGCTGGAAGTGGTCAGATAATTACCTCCATGGCCTACCCCCTAGTGACCCAGTTGTTCCAGTTAGGTATGTCTCACCTCCTGAAGGTTCCACAACCCCCCAAAATAGTGCTACCAGCTGGGGACCAAATGTTCACATGAGCTTGTGGGGGAACATTTCATACTCAAATTATAATGCCTTCCCTAAATCTTGAATATGGCAAGTGCCTGTAACATACATATAAAGAAGGCATCTATAAATGTTGGTCAATGGCTGATTACATCCATCAGTCAATGAATCAATTTAAGCCTAAGTTACTTTATCCAGCAACACAGAATGCTCAGATTCTGTAGTAATAGACTTGATTACTTCACGTGCTCTGCAGAACTTCCCTTTCTCTTCCTCCAGCTTTACCCTGTGCCACTTGTCTCTAGTCCACATCATCTTTCACTTGATATATCCTCTGTTGCAGTTTCTAACTCACCACTTCTTGCACTTCCTTCTCCAAAAGTCAGCCAGAGGGAGCTTTTGGGAAGAAGGTTGGATCTTGACACTTGTCGGGATGTAGCAGGTCATTGGCAGGTTTCCAGACTTGTACCCTCCTGCACCCCTTCATCTATGCCCTTTGCTTTGTTCTCTCTTCCATCCCTTCCAGGCCTTGGTAAAGAGCTCTCCCCACCTTCTCTCTGGAGCACTCTCCTCTTCCCCCACTTCAGTCTTGTGCTGTGAACTTCTAATTGCCCTTTGGATCCTATCTACAAATGCTTACTGTGCAGGGACTCTGTGAGGCTTTCTGTGTCCACTCTTTCCTCCATCTTCTGTCCTTAATTGCACTTACAGGTTTGGACTGGTGTATGATTAACTTGATCATTCAATAATGTCAGATTTCCTCACTGAAGTGGAAGCTCCTTGAGGCCAGGAACTATGTACATTTGCTAGGGCTGTGACAATGAACAGCACTGACTTAGCTTAAATAACACAAATTTACAACTCATAGTTCTAGAGGCTGGAAATCCAAGACCAAGAAGTTGGGAGGCAAGTGCAGTTTCTTCTGAAGCTGCTCTCTTTGGCTCACAGATGGCTTCCTGTGATGTTTCTAAGTCACATCATGGTAATGCTTAGAAAAGAAACAGGCTGACTCTTAAGGCTAAGAGTGGACCTGAACTGAGAGCACCTGTTCCTTCAGATGTCCCTGGGAACTGTGCTCTCAAGCCAGGGTTTCACTCATTCTCTTGTTGAAACAGTGTCTCCAGCATGAAATGGGGAAGTAGAAGTCAGGACTCACCCTTCTTTATCACAGAATCTTGCCCTTTGATCCCTAGGTCTACAATATTATACACATTCAATTTCCCTCATTATTTGCAATGAGAAAAGCATGCATTCAGTGCTTTGATATGTGAAGCATGCATATACATATTCATACTATCTTCCATTGTGTTGGGTGGAGGAGTACTGAGGGATTAAGGTCATTTGCCCACGTCACAAGAGTAGCACATAGCTCAGTGAGCTTGTTTACATTATAAACAGTAATTTTTTGGTTGCAAGGTCAGGTAAAAGTCTTTAGTCCAGATTATGTCTGTATAGTAGAAGTCATTCCTACAGCTGCCTTCTTCCTGTGCCTTCATGTGGCCTTTCTTTTTGTGTGTGCACATATCTCTAGTTTATTTCTGTGTCCAAATTTCATTTCATAAGGGCATTAGTCAGGAAGAGTCTGAGAAGATGACTCAGTGGTTAAGAGCTCATATTGCTGTTGCAACATACATGCACATACCCCCAAACAGACATACGCTCATACACATAATTAAAAAATAAAAATAAGCTGGGCGTGGTGGTGCACGCCTTTAATCCCAGCACTTGGGAGGCAGAGGCAGGCAGATCTCTGTGAGTTCAAGGCCAGCCTGGTCTACATAGTGAGTTCCAGGACAGCTGGGGCTACAGGGAGACCCTGTCTCAAAAAGACCAAAAATAGATAAATAAATAAAAATAAGCCGGGCATGGTGGCACATGCCTTTAATCCCAGCCCTCAGGAGGCAGAAGCAGGCAGATCTCTGTGACTTCAAGGCCAGCCTGGTCTACATAGTGAGCTCCAGGCCAGCTGCTGCTACAGGGAAACCTGTCTCAAAAAAAAAAAATTAAAAAAAATAAAATAAAAATAAGCCAGGTATGATGGCACATGTCTTTAATCCAAGTACTTGTGAGGTACTCACAGATAAACTCTATGAGTTCAAGGCCAGCTTGGTCTATATAATGAGTTCCAGGCCAGTTAGGGCTACATAGTGAGACCCTGCCTCAACAAGCCAAAATAAATAAATAAGTAATAAAAAGAACTCTTGCTTTTTTTTTTTTAAGACTTGGTCTTCCTGTAGCCCCAGGAAACCTGGAACTCCCTACATAGACCAGGCTGGCCTCCATCTCACAGAGATCCACCTGCCTCTGCCTCCTAAGTGCTGGGACTAAAGGTGTGAACTACCACACCTGGCTAAAATTAATTCTTAAAAATAAGGACATTCAGGGATGGAGAAATGGCTCAGCAGTTAATAGCACTGAGTGCTCTTGCAGAGGACCAGAGTTTGATTCCCAGCATCCACATGATGGCTAACAACCATCTGTAATTCTAGTCCAGGGGATCTGACACCTTCTTCTGACTTCCTTGGGCACTGCAAACACGGGAGCACTTACACACATGCAGGCAATACATAACACACATAAAAATAATAAATAAAATATATTCACAAAAGGAAGGACATTAATCAAACTAGTACTGTAATGGCCTCATTTTGGCTTACCTCATCAAAGGGCATGTCTTCAAACATAGTCACATTCAAAATTTCTAGGAGTTAATGAGTGGAAGATATAGCTCAGTTACAGGGCTAGCCTAGCATGTACAAAACCCTGGGTTCAATTCTTTGTACTTCCTAAACTGGGCATGGTGACATACCTGTAATCCTAGCACTTGGGAGGTAAAGGCAGGAGGATTAGAAATTTAAGAACATCCTTGGTTACATGATGAATTTGAGGCCAGTCTGGGATACAAGAGACCCTATTTTAAAAAAAAAAGTACTAGGGAGTTAAGTTTTCAACGTATAAATATGGGGAGAGGGGATGCAATTTAATCCATCCCAGAAACCATATCACTTCTGCTCACACCCAAATCTTTAAGATAGTGCTGGACTGACCTTGGTACTTTATGCACATCCCTTAAATGAATGGTTGCATTTCAAACCCCCTTTTGCTGTCCCATACTCATAAATTGTGCTGGAAGGAAATAAATCAGAAGGCACAGATTGCAGAAGAACCCTCAGGGACCACAAGGAAATGTTTTCTGTCATGATTTTCAAGTCGCAGGGCTTTGAAGATAAGTTGCTTTCTCCTAGGACTTCCACATGGGGCTGAATGAACCCCCTGTGGCTGGCTGGCCTTTCCTGTCCTGGGTGTGTCTGCTGTCCTGATGGGTTGCTGGGGAAGTTTTGCTGACAGCTGACTGCTGACCCAAATGGCCTTCTTTAGAAAGCGAGTCACAGATGGGCTGGTGGGAATGTGGATTCACACAGCTCTGGGAAAGCAGATTAGCAAGGAGTACTAGAAGCGTAAAAAACAAAGACGCAAACAACAATCATGGCGGTATCTTGTAACCTTAGAATTCTAAGGCCGGGTGTTCAGTCTGAGGGCTTCGGGGTGGGGTGGGGGGTGGAAGGGACCTGATGGGGGGATGGGAGGGGGGCAGATGGATGGACACACAACGACTCAAGATAGGTTTATGTTCCAATGTTAATTTCTTTTTAAAAAATATTTATTTACTATTTTTTGTGTATGGGTGTTTTGCCTGCATGTGTGTAAGTGCACTACTTGTGTGCATTGCCCCACATAGGCCAGAAGAGGCCGTCCAATCCCCTGGAACTGGAGTTATGGAAGATTGTTAGTTGCCATATGAGTGCTGGAAATTGAGCCTGAGGTCCTTTGGAAGAACAGCAAGTGTTCTGAACTTAAGCCCTCTCCAGCCCTCCAATGTTAATTTTTTAAAAGCAGTATCTCTTAGCTGGGAGTGGTGGTGCACACCTTTAATCCCAGCACTCTGGAAGCAGAGGGAGGTGGATCTCTGTGAGATCAAAACCAGCTTGGACTACATAGTAAGTTCCAGGCCAGTTGGTACTACAGGGAAACCCTGTCTCAAGAAAATTATTTTATGTGTATGAGTGTTTTGCCTGCATGTTTCTGAGTGCACCACGTGTGTAACACCTGTGGAGGCCAGAAGAGGGTGTGCGATCTCCTGGAAACTGGAGTTATTAGAGACATGGTTGTTAGCCACCATGTGGGTGCTGGAAAACAACCCAGGTCCTCTGCAGGAGGTGTCAGTGCTCTTAAGCCCAAAGTCATCTTTCCAAATCTTATTTTAATACAGTTATTTTTGTTTGAAAGAACCAGAAAATTCTTTCTTCGTGT